GAACGTACCGGGCGTTAATTGTTAATTAGTTCAGCAAAATCGTGCAGGCTGTACAGGGGTGTCCACACGCCTCAGGGTAAGCCACGCCAATTGGGGGTTACCCTGGACTCTGCCGAAGAGGCCGAATAAGTACTATTAATGGCTCAGGTACTAGCCATGGACAGACGTTCGAACATAAGGGTGAGACAAGACAGACAATGGGCTATCAGACAAATGGCAAGGGAGTCACCGGAACTGATGCCTTCTATCTCTGTGGTGGTACACGGTGTTCCGGAGCTGAAACCAGCACTGCTTGTGAAAAACACACGCACGACGTACAGTAATAGAGATGGCTGCCATCTCAGATGGCCCTTGGCGCTTCTGGAGCCATCTTCATTTTCCGACTACCTCGCCCCGCTCATTTCACACTGATTAGCTCTCCAAAGCTGCTAAGTGTCACATTCGACTCCCCGGAGCAGTTGCCCATAGCACTTCAACGGTGGTATGAGACCAAGGGAAAAATTGGAGGACACATCCGATGCTGTGAAAGCAGACTTCGAAATATAAGGAGGCAGCAAGCTGAGGCTTTAATACGACCCCAAGCTTCGGTGACACTAGAGCGATGCAGCTCTGAGAATAATAGTCTGTGTCTCTCAAGTGTCCTGCCTAAATCCATTGAAAAAACTACCACGGGCCGGTTCTATCGGAATCGGCCAACTAGTTCCAACATCAAGTCCCCCACCAGCAGACGGTTTCACGTCAACTACCCCACAACACTCTGAGGTTGTTAGACTCACTGTCAGTTGCCTATATAGCAATGTGAGGGAGCTGATAGGAAAAGTAGGTGAATTCCGAAATCTCCAAGCACACCTTCAACTGAAAATAATCATTCTTACTGAAACGTGGCTAAACCCCACCATCGCCGTCAATGAAATCAGTACAGATGATATGGTACTGGTCAGGAAAGACAGGGATAATAAAGAATAAATAAATAGATTGATTCTCATGATACAGTACATGAGGGACGCCAGTTTACAGGCATCATCAAATTGTTACAGAAATAGGACCATATTATTCAGTCACCTTTTACAATCGATAGCAAAATATGTTTAACATGTACACTGGAGATTATACATACACTTGATAAATGTTAATCCCAATAGTATAAAACAGCCTTTTCACTTATGTACAATCATTTCTGTGCATAGTTTGAAAAATCCGCTAGATTGTCAGTGAGTGCAACACATCAGGAAATACAGAAGTATTGTCTTCGCATTAACAAAAAAACCAGGTCTTTGGTGGATGGGTTATAAGTGCCTGGGAAAAAAAATAAAGCTTGAAGTCAGTTTTCAAACATAATTTTGTAGTGTACAGAATCCTTGAATTATAGTTCATTGATGTGTTATTTTGAAATTAGAGAAATGTTTATTTCATCTAAATAAATAAATAGATAGATTGATTCTCATCAGTTGCTATATACTTTGATAGGCAACTTAAATGTGTGCGCGCAAGGGACCCATCACTTATTGAACTCTCAGACTCCATATGGTGTCATTTCACCGTAGGCCACACCAAGAACTTACTGGGCGGCATCTACCGATCTCCCACCTGTGGGGCAGAGCACAATCAGCTACTGTTCAGCACTATCACAGGGATACGAGATTTGGGCTACGACCAAGTCACCGTAGCTGGAGATTTCAATGCCCCATCACTGAACCTTGGCTCGGGGTATGCTAAGGGAAAATTTGGCCGAAACCTACTGCAAACTATTCGAAGCACGGGACTGACTGAGAATGTTGGAGACGACACTAGGTGGGGCCCTAGTGGAAAGCCATCAAAACTAGACTATATTCTGACTAGTGACCAACTACTCATCGAAAAGGTCCAGATCATGACTCCTCTGGGAAGCAGTGACTGTGCAGTCATAGGTTTTGATATTGTTCTCCGTGAGCGTTTGCAGTGGGACGTTACGCGACCATTTCTGTGTTACAGCAAGGCTGACTATGCTGAAATGCGGAGGCTCTTGTCCAACGCAGACTGGCCCTTAGCATGGGATTACCTATCTGTGGATGAACAATGGGAAGTGGTAAAAAAGATTATTCATATGGCAATCTCGGATACCGTCCCTTTAGTCACAACACAGCCCAAAAGAAAGACGTCATGGTTGAAGAGAGGCACGCAACGTATTCTGCAAGCAAAGCGGTAGGCTCGGTCTGCGTGGCGTGTATCTAAGAGTCAGACCGACCACGATGCATACCTGGAACTCGGGAACCGGTGCAATGCAAGAGTCAGGAGGGACAGGAGGTCATTCCAGGCTAATCTTGCTAAAAATACTCATAGCAAACCCCAAAAACTTGCACTGATTCATGTCGGAAAGAAAAACAACCAAACAGAGGGCACGCGCCTTAGTAGGCCCAAACGGTCAAAATCTCACTAGTCTAAAGATGGCTGAAACATTCAGTTCAGCCTTCGCCAAACAGCTAAACGGCAATGTGGGCAATACGTTTACGAATCAAAATGGTGGCACCACTATTTCACAGGGGGAAGACCTAGTGGCTACTCCCCAAATAAACCCCGCAATAGCACTAAGGAAGCTACGGCGACCCACACCTGGGAAGTCCCCGGGTTGTGATGACATCAGGTCATCTGTTCTGAAACAGTGTGACGAAGCTCTCTGTAGACCCCTGTGCGACTCGTTCCAACACTCAATGGATTCAGGGAAACTGCCAAGGGAGTGGAAAAGAGCCATCCTCTCTCCAATCTTCAAAGGTGGGGACAGGCAAGACGCTATTAGTTATAGACCAGTAGCTCTAATCCTAGCGGCATAAAAAGTAATGGAAAGCATTATTGATGACCACATCAGGGAATATTTCGATAGGTCTAATATACTACATGAAGCCCAACACGGTTTCAGGAAAGGCAGATCCTGCGTTACTAACCTACTATCAGCTTGGGACGATTGGACGTCATGCTGGGATATGAATGTTCCAGTCCATGTGGTCTTCCTAAACTTTGAGAAGGCATTTGACACTGTTCACCATGACCTTCTCCTACACGAAATGAGCCAGGTAGGAATACGTGAGGCACTTCTGTTATGGTTAAAGGACTACCTAGCTGACAGGCAACTTTGCACTAAGGTCAATCGAGTCCGATCATCTTGGCACAGATCGTCATCAGGAGTGTCTCAGGGTTATATCCTAGGACCACTGATGTTTTTGATTTCTATCAGTGATCTATCACTCCTTCTAGGCTGCCCGACTCTTCTATACGCTGACGACGTATAGATATGGAGGGCAATAAAGTGTCCAGAGGACTCAGATAGGCTTCAGGAAGATCTGAACCTTCTGGAAGACTGGGCGGCGGCCAGCGGCATGACTTTCAACCTGAAAAAGTGAAAAGTAGCGAAGTTGCACACCTGTAGACTGCAGAATGGAAGTTACACCCTGTGCAATAAAAGCTTGTCCTGCACAACGTCGGAATGCAACTTAGGTCTAGTTCTAACGGAGAAAATGGACACAAGCTTAAATTACACGGGGGATGTAGCAAGGGCATATGCGGTCATACACTTTACGCATAGACCGTTAGGTGCACTCACTCCTGAGCTCTTTCTAAGGTTGTACAAAACATACGTCAGACCACACTTTGAAGTGCATAATATTATTGCACGCCCAATGCTTAGAATAGACGCCAACCTTTTAGAAGGAGTCCAACGACGGGTAACAAAAGGAGTGGTTGGTCTCCGAAATAAACCATATGATGAAAGGCTGAAGAAATTAGGCCTGTTCACACTTAGCTACCGACGTCTTAGGGGAGACTTGATTACTGCCTACAAAATAACAAATGACCAGAGTCACCCAAACAAAGGTGTCCTGCCATTGAGTTGGTATAGGCTCCCTCGTGGAAATCCCAGAAGGATAGCTCACCAGAGGGCAAGGACCCGGCTGCGCTCCCACTTCTTTTCACTGCGGGTCTGCCGTCGCTGGAATTCCTTACCGGCAGATGTAGCTATGGCACCGTCTTTGGACGCCTTTAAGCGAGGGCTGGACAACCATGCGGCGACACAAGGACTGCATCCAAATGGCCTATCCCCTTAAAATGGCATACACCATTCAAGGGTAGACAACTAAACTTGTCGTTTTACTTCTTTACATTCTCTCCCGTCTTACTCTCCTGACAACTTTAACTACACTTATTACTATTATCATCATTATTACCAATATATATATATTATTCATATTATTCTTCAAATTTAATCAGCTGACTCTTGTTACGTTTTCTTATTTCTTTTTCTGTCTGTTAGTCTGAATAACTTCATTAATTATATCTGTTATTATTGTTATCTCTTTTCTCTTGTCCACGATACCGGAGGACTAACTGGCGAAAGGATCAACTCCATTCACAGTAGTAACAGTCCTAATACACCTCATACTACAAACCACATATAATTAATCCCAGCACAACTCCCTTTGAAGTCAACCAAAGCTACGACAGTCGAGTGGCGGAACAAGCTACGCAGAAGTTTACCGAAGATCAGGAACCTATGCCTTACAATCAAGAAGCGAGCAAAAAGAAATCAATTTGGTTTATACTAGCTCGTAAAAACGATATTGGATTGAATATTACTGTACAACACAGTGTGATTTATCAAAATAAAATCTTAACTAAAATGGACCACTTATGTCTATTTTGACTGCTTCTTATTTAATATTATCTCTCTTTTCGACCATGCGAGACGACTATCAAGTGGAAGGACTAACTCACTTCACAGAAGCGAAAAAGTCTTGATGCACAGCATACTACAAATCACATATAACCAACCTCAAAACAGTTCTCCGTGGAGTCAAACAAAGCTACCACATTAGAGAAGTGAGACACACTAGGCAGAAGTTTACCGAAGACCAGAAACGCTCACCTTAAAACTAAGAAACGAGCAAAATAAATCAATTTGGTTTGTACCAGCTGATGAAGACCACATTGCATATTGGAAACATTAGACGTTAGCTTTCTTATAATGCACTATCCCCTACCCTTGCTTTGAGGCGGCTTGTTAATCTTACTGTTTATTTGTTCGCGACTTTAAATTGTCGGAATTTTGTGATGCGAACTGGGGATATTTCACAGTCAAAACGACTCTCATACACCTTTTAAAAAACTTGCGTGACAAAATTATCTGTCTACTTTAAACTCTATTGTATATTCTAGCTCGCATCATGTTATCTATGAAGCATTTGTTAAAGCGCCGATTACTCATTTTGGGTTTCTATTTTTTGTTTGGCTTTACGAAGTTCGCCTCACTCTACCTTTATTCACACAGTGGTAGATCCTCTTATGTTAACGACTACACGTTGTCCGCAAGCATATCTGATCAATCGTTTCACCAAATGGATGCTCAAGTGTCATGGGCGAGCAGGAAATTGATGGGAATACAAGTTGTTCGTCCTCCTCCGTCGATGAACTGTACTCCGCTAGCTATTGATAACTTTCCGAAAGACGTATTCACTCAGTCTCAGCGGCAGTACGGAGCCGTTATAATTCACTTCTTTGTCTCGATATATATGTTTGTTGGCCTTGCACTACTTTGTGATGAATACTTCATTCCTGGTTTGGAGAGGATTTGTGAAGGTTTGTTGTGAGGCATATATTACAGTTTTTCCATAGTTCTGAATCTCCAACCAGATGTTGCTGGGGCAACCTTTATGGCTGCTGGTAGTTCTGCTCCTGAACTAGCAACCACTTTAGTTGGAGTTTTCATCGCGAAGGTGAGAAAAATGATTTTTCCCTCAAATGAGCTGTTTTATTCGGCCTATTTTCATGTAAATAAAATTTTAACTGTCATTGACATGATGGAAAATCATTTGTTCCATCATTTGTAAGGCACTTCTCCTATGTGTTTATTCCAACGTCTAAATATCTTAAGTGTGTTATAAGTGCTCCTGTTTTTGATACGATTGTTTATGAGAATTGATAAAGATAGCGGCAGTGTGTAACGTGTTCTGCTCACAAGTCTAGTCTCTTTGTAACCCATGTAATTAATACAACATACTTAGATTGTTTATGTTTTAAATAAGTAGTGATACGTTTAAAACTCCTAATTCTTGAGTGATTGCATTGTCGTTTTCAACGATAAATACTCGATTCCCCAAGTAGTATATCTGTTCAATATGTATGCGTATATGTATTTAATTGGCACGTTGGCCATAATGAGTAAACCTCTTCTGGCTTCTCTTTGTAATATTGGAACATAGATAAACGGGACAGCATTAATGTTTTAGAAGTTGAATACTTGAGAGTGGCGTAAAGGATGTATTTAGTCTTATCACACAGATGAATAATTGTGCACTTCAGTCTATTATTTATCAACTGACTACTTCGCCAAATGGTTTTTGTAGCATACTTCATAATCTAATCAAGATAATTTCAGTCTTCCGAACAAATAAAATAAGCTTTGAAATATGGAAAGGATGCTCATTCATCAACTGAGTATACTGTAAATCACTCAGCTGTACCTCACACACTGGTTATAAGGAGAGACTATCGGATGTGAACTATATCAAGAGATCACAAGGTTTTAGTAGGGTTTTTATTCGATATGACGAAAATTCCCGTTAAGAAATTTAGAAGGCAAAGGAATTTAACCAAGAAATATTCACTTTCCAATTAGACCTTAGTTTATTTTGTATATTTTCTTTCATTTTTTGATGCTAATCGATGTTCTTGTACTTGCTAGGAGTTTTCATGATGCTCTTGGACTGACTTATGCGAGAGTACCTAATTGATTGTTACTTCAAAATGTTAGCTAGCTTTGGGTATCACAATTATCTCACGAATTATGCTAGAGAAAAGGTATTTGTCCCTCAAATCTTATCAAAGCAAACAAGTTGACTAGTTAACGCTAGGATTAAAGTCAACTATTGTTGTGATGTAATTAGTTAACTGTGGAGGAGGTCTGACAGAGCGTGCTACTTGCTAATGGAGTGTGTGACAATGGTGAATTAATTCCTGTAAACTACCAGCGATCCAGATAAACTCCTCTGTATTGAAGAGCTAAAAATGAGAATAAAATTGACATTAAAATTCCACACCATTGTTTACACTATGGTCGTCTTGCCTTTTCAATGAAGTCAGTTACATTTAAAAACTTGACAGATTTCAAGTAGATATCCACTGGGACCTAAAAGTGAATCTCTTCTTCTTTATGTACAATCAGCAAGCATTCATCTTTCTTGGTGTTAGTAACCAGGAGGTGTAAACGGCTTACAAATCTTTTTCAACTTTGTTTTTACCTGAGCGACTTAGACAATAACTTTTTATTTTCAATTTATAGTCATGGGGTATAGTCGCTATTATCTGACAAACGAGAATCCCTGAATACTCTTTTTTTGCGTTTATCAAGACCAGCAACAATAAAACTAAATTTGAAACAGGCAGATAGATTAAATTGCTATTTTTGTAGATTGAAATGGTTAAATTAATTTTCGTATGCTTCTCAAATATCTTATAAAAATATCGTTAGATAAAGCGTAATTAGTCGCAGTTGTATGATAGGTTGTTGACGTTGCAAAATGTGTCTGGATTGATGAGAGTAATGGTCCTAAACAGTTCCCGACTATTCATATCTATTCTTTCTTGAATTTTTGGGTCCCATTTGTCTACTTTAGTCATATTAAACTTATTCTGACTTCCTTAACTGTCATCGTTCCAATCATTCTAGATTTTTAACTTTTACTATTGCATAAACTAATTTGAACTTGTGAATTGTATCTTGTATATATTCATGTCGCTTTAAAGTAATTCAATGTTTTATTACCTTTGTTAGTGAGATTATGACTCAGTAGCTTAGAGACGTGATTTGACCAGTGAGTTTTCTTCATCTCTGGAAACAGCCGCATGGATCTTATTAACCTCCATATAATATAAGGTTCCTTACCATGTCCTTTTCAAAATTATTGCTATGTGGTGAAAGGGCGTTTTTTCAATCTCGCTTTATGATGTAATTATTGCATATTTTTCAGGGAGCTTAAAGTTCTTTTAACTCCAGTCACTGTTCATTTAAACTTTAGTTTTCAGTCAATACAAAACCTATTTTATTCAAATAATTTCAGATCTAGCTGTTTCTTTTTTTTTTTTTACAATTTTTATTATTTTTTGTAGGATGACATTGGTCTTGGAGCAGTTGTTGGTTCTGCTGACTTCAACATTATGTTGGTCATCAGTGTGAGCGCACTTTTCGCAAAGCAGGTAATTTATTCTCATTTTTTTGTTTGTCGAAATCACAGTACATAATCAACAAATTTGCATTTAATTATTAATGTATGTCTTAAATGCTTCGTTTTATTGTCAAACATTATTTTTCGTGTCCGCACAGTGGAAGGCAAAAACTGTGAGTATAGTTTTAGTCATTGTTATTGATTCTCAATGTCGTTTCTTCTTGGAAAATCAAAATTGCAACTCCATCACAACTTCACCAGTAGTAGAACCAGTTAATAAATCTAATGGCGTCATGGTGAAGGTAAAAGCAAGTCATCCTCCAGCGATGATTACTGTGATTAACACAACAATTTTAGCAGCAATAGACCGAATTAGTAATTCATTTCGTAATATCATGAAGTTCATCTCCAAAAACTGTAACAGTGGCTCCATATTAGTTTGATTATTAAATGTATCACATAGTGAATCAGTATTGTATACTGGATGACGTATACAATACTGATTCACTGTGTGATACATTTAATAATCAAACTAATATGGAATTACTTAATACCACAGTGCCCAAGTTTTACACATATGTAACAGTGGCGTTGGAATATTCGATGTTTCATCGTCCATGGTAAAAAGAGAAAGGAATTCTAGTCAGAGCTGGAACTAACGACAAGGATGCGAATGATATCTTCAAAGTTTTCCAAAAGAATAAAACTGAAGCCAAATCCAAAACCATCAAACCGAAGGCCAAGTCAAAAAAGCCTTCTGTTATAGAAATTGTTGAAATGAGTTGTCGTTACCCATTGAATGTCTCTTAAGCTTTTGTCGAACCTAATATAGTTATCTTACAGTGTGGTGCTGCTAACACTGATATTTGGAAACTTAGAACTGATTGTTTGCCTAACGCTCATTCCATGTATTCAAACACCGTAGTACACTAACTCAACGGTTGAATAATAACTCTCTCCTACTGGATTTGGTAGTTCCAAATTCGATCTCTCCGTGCTAACAAGTTGTTTTTATCAATTGTTGTTATATATATATCTCAACAATCGCTCGCATTTCCATTCTGTTAGCAATAAGCCAAAGCTATTGTGTGTATGTATGTGTGTGTGTGACGGCTTATGATACCACTTGGCTACCCAACCTTCGGCAAGTGGTGAAACGTGTTTTGAATCTGCGGTTCAGTGATTGAAAGCTGAGAGCCTTAACCAGTACGCTTCAGCTCTCTACAAGTTGTAAACAGTTTCTATCCTAATTGTAAATTTCGAAAGACATCTAACCACTGTTGTCTATACAACTGAGGGATATCAATCGATTAAATCGATTGCATTAAGATAGAGTTGGTTGATCCCTTTGTTAAAACTACTTGATAAACTTGTTGATTTAATCCGCTTAAACAACTTACAAAAATTTATCCTAAAAAAAAATAAAAATTTTTGGAATGTATCGAAAAACAACACAGTCGACTGCCTATCTTTAATCTTTATCTTTATTTCTATAATAATTTTAATAATTGAAATAGTGTTATCTTCTTTCCATCTTAATAAGAAAGATTATTTAGAATATTAAGAAGGGGAATTAATCAGGGAAAGTTTTGTTGCTATTGTTGTTTTTGTTGTTGTTGTTCTAGCTGTGTCGCCACGTTATTACTGGAAGACATCTGCGTTATCCTGATTTCAGTCTAGTACACACAAACTTTGACAAACTGGTCGAAGAAGCAGCCGGCGAAGACAGAACTCCAGGTGAACATAGACAAGACGGGGGTTATGAAAATAACCAACAAACCAACCGACCAACAACAACAAAAGCAGCAACATCCAGCGCCAATCACTATCAACAACGGGAGGAATTTGAAAGGTCACTTCATTCACTCATCATCTAGGGAGCATTGTCTCAACTACAGACAGTCGGAACGGACGAGGATGTCAAATCGAGCGAGAATCGGGAAGGCGAAAGAGAAACACATTCATCAACCAACTAAAACCAATCTGGAAATCTTCGTCACTCAACTCATCATCAACAACAAAATTCGGTCGGATTTTCAATACAAATAACGTGAAGTCAGTTAGTTCTTCTATACGGATGGAACAGAAACTTGGCGGGCGGGCGGGTCACAAAGAATATTTCCAACAGCCTGTTGCAGACCAGATCTTTATCAACCAACAACTGTCTTCGCCGGATCTATACTGAAGATGAATCAGATGGCCGGGCCGGAAAGAAATACCAACAAGAAACTATGGGCATTAACAAACAAAACAAGAACCCATCGCCAACCAACAAATATGCAGTTGGAGAAAGTGGGTGGAGATGAATTGGACACTCGCCGCTGAGTGACATCGTGCGCGCGTCAGGCCATTGCTCGAGTGGAACCTGACAGAGTGGGAAGCGGCGAGTGGGACGTCGGTGCAAGGGTGGGTGACATGGAGGAGGAGATCGTGTGAAGAGGAGTTGAAACACAGTATGGACTAACTAACATGGATTCAGGTGAAAGGTACAGTAGAAGACAGAAGTGGCGAGTGGAGACGTGCAGCAGTTGAAGCCCTATGTTCCTCACTAGGAACTCAAGGGAACAATAATAATAATACATACATACATACACGCACTTACACCTGAAGAAACACTCCAGAAAAAAAAGAATCGATGTATATACTCAAATTAAATGTTACTTTGAACTCATTTACTTGAGACAAACTTTTTATGTGCCAAGCTAAGAGGCTGAAGTAGGCAGAGCGCGACTCGAACTTGTGACTCATCAGCTGAGTAGCTTAAGCCAATGAGCCACGTTTCTACATGAGTTACACCTTCCTTCAAGAAGTTCTAAGTCATTCATCTAGCAACTGAATGTTGTTTGACCAAATTTTCAGTGTTTTCAGACTATTAGATTATCACTATGGCGATGTAGTATTGTGTCATTAATTGTATAGATATGAGGGTATGCGTATGTGTCTGTTGAATTGAAGCTCACTGCATAAAATCGTTGATTATTGATGATTAATTTATATATTCTTTAATTTTCTTTCTCAAAAAGTAAAGTAATAAATATTTAGTTGGTGGTTGGTGGCTAGCAGTGGAATCCAGGATGGACATTTCGTCCTATTCGGGACTCGTCAGCTGAATGTACCTGCATTTCTCAGTGAGTGATGATGTTCCCACCCAGAGGCTCGAACCCATAGTGTGCCCATAGTTTCAAACGCTAAAGCGTTATCCGCTAGACCACTTGGGCCATGAGAGCCACCTCTTGTGCAACGGGTCATATTAATTTTATTGAATTTGAGATTTTCCCGTCGATTGATTGTACCGAAGTGCTCGGTCTCAGGTTGACATATCGGCTATGGGTACTGGGTTCGAGCCTCGGTGGGAACATCATAACTCACTGAGAAATGCAGGTACATCCAGCTGACCACGAGTCCCAAATGGGACGAAATGCGCTTCATCCTGGCGGATTCCACTGCTAGACACCATCCACCAATTAAATAGTAATTAAATGCCCAGACATCGTCGAAGCATCTGCACAAGAAGCCGACATGTCAACCTGAGACCGAGCACTTAGTTCCAATCAATCGACGGGAAAATCTCAAATTCAATAAAAAAAAATAAAGTAATAAATAATTACCAGCTATATATGCTAAGGGGCGAGAAGAAAAAGCAACTATGCTAATCAGTAATGATCAGTAATTTTGGTTAGCTAGTCCTGTTTATTCTACAGTTTTCTATTGCTAATTTCATTTTCAAGTGATATTATCCACTAGGTAGGCCTGAATGGGAAACGGCTATATATTTGAGTATAGATCCAAGGGCATTATGGAGGGGGGATAATGTAAGAAGGAAGTAAAAGCTTACAGGCAATCGCGTCGTCAGTCAAAGAAAAACGACTGTAGGGAACAAGATGGAATGATGATGTTCTCTGACAGCTCTATGTTCCATTTGGAACTCAAGAGAATAACAATGATAATAATAATAATAATAATAATAGTAATGATAATTTCCTTCCCATATCAACTAGACAGATATATACTGCTTTACTATGCGTGTTTACTTTATTATCTACTTTTTTCGTAGGTGATTTACCTTAACTGGTGGCCATTGGTACGTGATTCAGCTGTCTATTTATTATCGATTATCCTCTTAGCATGGGTAATCTGCGATGGATTCATTTATTGGTGAGTTATGCTTTTTTTTCCATATTCTCCTTAATACTTCATTAAAGAAGAGAACGTTCTTCTGCTGAAACGTAATAGTTTCAATGGAGATTTTCATTTTATGTCACTGGTTTGTGTACACTAAGCAGCATCACATCTCTAATTAATGCTACTACTGTAATGAGAGCTGTTTGCCAGCCAAAATTGGTAGACAGCAATTTGCGTCAAAGTTTACGTCCCAAATCTTGGTCATGAGAAAAAAAAACGAAACAAGAACAAAGACTTTGCCTGGGCGGATACGATTCGCAGATATATGGTCTGACCTTCAAAGAAATAGCCACAAAGAGATGACAGATTAACTTCCAGTGAGAAAACGACCACTCAGAAGACGTTGTTTCTCTGCTAATAATAATGTATATAAAAATCTATAAATATCTCTTGATTTGCTCAATAGACGATCTGTAGCCTAACCGTTGTCTTCTGTTGTCACACTACTACTACTACTATCCATCAAAGGGCGTGTGTACTGCTCATCAGTCCGCTTCGTCCTCCTTTATGTCTGTGAGACCTGGCCATTGAGAGTGAAAGACATGAAAAGATTAGCTGTCTTCGATCATAGGTGCCTGCGCTCTATCTCCCGTGTGAGATGGTGGTATAATAAGGTGAACAATACCGAGGTTAGGCATCGGTCGAGTTCTAGGTGAGGAGGGAGGAAAAATCAATAGACGAGGTTGTGAAGCTACATCGACTGAGATAGTTAGAACGTGTATTACGTATGCCTAGTCATCGCCTTCCTCTACCGATATTATCTGACTAAAGGTCAGGCTGGAAATGAGCTGCGAGTGGTGGTCAAACCAAAACATGGCCGCATTAGTCAATGAAATCCACAACAGTCAATTTAAGCTAGCCATGTAGGAAGGTGTAGACTTCCTGACTGGTTGGGGTCCTACGGACGGTAAAAACCAATGAAGGCTGGATACAATCGGTGATATGGCTCAAAATCGTTCTCAATGGCTGGCGGAGTTAGATGCATCCACTCCTTGTGACTTATAATACCCAATGAAACCATATTGTTCTTCGTTGTTACGAATCTTTTTGTCTCATATCCCTGTTTACTGTCTTTATGTTGCATTTCTTCTACTTTTTTCACTTGCTTTGTGTGCTACAAGGAGGGAGTTTGGCGACTTGAACTGCCGCACATCAGTGCAAAGTTCTCTTTCGAAAACAGACAGACCACAAGTGTAGACTGTTAAGCGAGTCATGCATTTACTTGCGAATGAGAATCTCACATCATTCAGCTTTACTGACGGTTTGCGTGTATTTTTCAATGGATATTTACAGATAAACAGTTACTACCTGTTGTACTTCTGAAGTGCTTCAATTTACGTTGCTATTTGGGTTCATACTATCTTTAATGATTGGGCTTTTTGAACCCTCTTATCATCAGGGTTAAATAACATGTTGGTGAGAACGGTTATTTTCGGGAAATCAGTCAATTATAACCATCCATTTTCCTTACATACCGACTTATTTACTGGTTAATCAGACTTAAAGTACATTGAATATTGTCAGTTGGTGACATGGCTCGAAATCGTTCTCAGTGGCGCAGATGCATCCACTCCTTGTGACTTATGATTTCCAATGAAACTGTTTTGTTCTTCGTTATTACTCTTCCTTTGTCTCACACCTCTGCTTACTGTCTCTATTTGGGATTTCTTCTACTTTCTTCTCTTGCTTTGTGTTCTACAAGGAGGCAGTGTGGTGACTTGAACTGCTGCACATCAGTGTCGAAAACAGACAGACTACCACAATAATAATTGTAATTATCATTATTCACGTGTGTTCTGAGTGGAGCGTAGAGTATCAACAGCACATCTTCATATGACTCTGTTCTATGCAATCCTTTTTAGCTGGCTACATGATTGCCCCTGAACTTTTATCTCCTCCTTACACGGTCTCTTCCATACCACCCTCAGGATTATGTCTAACCTATCATTTCCCATTGGGGTTCCCTTGTTGAGGTCATGCTTAGTGTGCAATGTCATTCAACGATCTCCCTAGCATATGTGTTCAATGCACTTCTATTTCCTTCCCCATATATATTTGTTGGACAAAGTTCTTTATTGCTAATCTTTCTCACAATCTGATCTTGAGTATGGGGTGAAGTCGGCAGCTGTTGATGAAAGTCTGCATTAGCCTGTTGGAAACGCCTTCCATAACGTGCGTATCAAGTCTCTAAACCATATAGAAGCACTGATGATTAACTTGATATTATTCTTGAATAGAATTCAAGTCATGTTCCCTATCTTGAATGCTGCAGATCTCGACACTGACTTAAGAGTAGTACAGAGCTGTCGTCTTTTCCCGATCTTAGTTCCCCTTGATGTCATGCGTGCCACCGCTTCTAGTTGGATTGATGCTTTCAAGATATTTTTTCCCTTTCTATAGTTTGGTTTGTAAGGATTAGTTATGTTTTACGAGTTGATCACGGATTGATATCAGTTAGAGAACCATTGAAAACCAGGGAGTACTGGACAGCTGCTGTTCCATCCTAGTTTGGGAATCATCGGCAGTACGCACCCACTGGGTTTCGAACCCAGGACCTTCCGGTTACAAGGCAAGCTCGTATACCATTCAGCCACTGGGACCCGATTCAATGGCTCGTGAATTCTAACTTCTACCAATTGAATCGGGTCCCAGTGGCTGAATGGTATACGAGCTTGCCTTGTAACCGGAAGGTCCCGGGTTCGAAACCCAGTGGGTGCGTACTGCCGATGATTCCCAAACTAGGATGAAACAGCAGCTATCCAGTACTCCCTGGTTTTCAATGGTTCTCTAACTGATATCAATCCGTGATCAACTCGTAAAACATAACTAATCCTTACAAACCAAACCATAGAAAGTTAATCTGATGCTCGCTAGTGACTTGCTACAGGTTGGAGTTTCCTGAGTTCTAGTGAGAAGTCGTGACCAGTGAGGTCCAATTAGATGTCACGTGTGTGGATGGATGTCCCACCAACGACAATGGTTGGGGTCGCGCTAAATCACGAATTGGTAGAAGTTAGAATTCACGAGCCATTGAATCGGGTCCCAGTGGCTGAATGGTATACGAGCTTGCCTTGTAACCGGAAGGTCCTGGGTTCGAAACCCAGTGGGTGCGTACTGCCGATGATTCCCAAACTAGGATGAAACAGCAGCTATCCAGTACTCCCTGGTTTTCAATGGTTCTCTAACTGATATCAATCCGTGATCAACTCGTAAAAAATATTTTTTCCCACCGATGCTTTCTGCTGTTGGTTAGGTAATTTTATTACCTCTCTTTAGCAAAATAGTCTTGTTTGATAGTTTGTTTGTTTTATTGAAACCTCTCAGTCTAAGAATTACTTTCCAGTGTTGTTTTGCAGGCATTTGATTCGATTGGTTATAGGATTTCATCATGAGCTAACATCGATTAGGGAACCATTGGAAAACCACCTAGGAGTACTGTACAACTGTTTCTGTCGTCCTAGTTCGGGGGCTCTCCAACAGTAAGTTCCCACCAGAGTTCGAACCCAGACCCTTTCGATTACAAGACGAGCTTGTAGACCGTTAAGCCACTGGGACCCAACTTCTGTCATTTCACGATATAACGCAACTGGTGGTGAGCATTCCTCCTCACAGTCTACCTGCTGTACCCTACTGGTGAGCATCAGATCAATATTCAAGTGTTGTTTTTCAGGGATCTGGTTCGTCTACGAGCTCACCTTGTGACTGGAAGCTCCTGGGTTCATAACCCAGTCAGTAGGTGCGTACAGATGAAGAGTCCTTAAACTTGGACGAAACAGCTATCCAGTACTGCATAGTGGTTTTTTATTGTTACTCTAATCGATGTTAGAGCTCCTAATGAAATCCTGTTACAATTATTTGGTCATCTTTACCACATATATAAATTTATGCACGTAAAGAAAAAAACTGTTATTATGCGAGTTTTTGTTTTGCATAAATGTTCACTCTCACAATAACGCTAAATTCTATATTCTGTTTCACAGTTCACTAAAAAAAAAGCAGGCTACTGAATAAAAAACCAATCAATGTTGATTTGCATTTAATGGTACTATTTTTTTCCCTTTTTTTTTCTAATTTTTCACGCTCTGTTTCACAGAGTTAATTCAGTTTCTGTGTCCTGTCTGACAGTGTCTAATTTTTCATTACTCGTGTGACATAATTCAAGATTGATATTTTCATACATCATATTGCTTCACCAGCCCCCTTGCCCCCACCCCAGCAACTCAATTCTATTATTGATTATATTTTTGTAGATTAACTCATTGTTTGTCTTGATGATAAAACCTAAATAGGAAAACTGTTTCATGTTGGTCAAATATTTAATCGCTCCTAAAGGGATGAACAAGCTGTGTGTGTGTGTGCGTGTTTGTCTTTACCCCCCGCTGTTCCACTGATGATTTATCAAATCTCTCATGCTGAGCATTTAACAAAAGAAATGCGCAAACCTTCGTGTTTGCTATTATTAATATATCCATTTTGTCTTGTTCCAGAATGTTATTGAATTATAACAACTTAAGTTAATTAGTTTGTACGGGTGCAGTTAAATTTCAGTTTTCATCATAAATTGACATCAATTTAAGGAATCATTGAAAATCGCTGGCTACAGGATGAGCTTGTTTGGAGTTCTAGTGAGAAGTTTTGACTGTGATGAGGGGAGTCCAACAGGTCGCTTGTGAGGACAAATTTATTATCATTATTATTATTATTGTTCCCTTGGGACCCTAGTGAGGAACATAGGGCTTCAACTGCACGTCTCCACTCGCCACTTCTGTCTTCTACTGTACCTTTCACCTGAATCCATGTTAGTTAGTCCATACTGTGTTTCAACTCCTCTTCACACGATCTCCTCCTCCATGTCACCCACCCTTGCACCGACGTCCCACTCGCCGCTTCCCATTCTGTCAGGTTCCACTCGAGCAATGGCCTGACGCGCACACGATGTCACCCAGAGGCCTCCTCAGCCGCGAGTGTTCAAT